TATTAAAAGGGGGCAAACGAGCAGCGTGTACACCAAGGTGGTCAACGACGCCCATGGACATCAAGTATATTTCAGTGTATTTCTAAACAGAGTAAACAATAAATGTATAATTAAAAATTAGAAGGTTTTTTTCATTCTTAGTGTTTCTAGCGCCATCTGTTACAAAATTACAAAAACTATACATTACCAGAAACATTTTTTTTTGGTATAAGATTTTACTTTTACTACCTTAAGTGCGGGAACATTGGCTCTTGTTTGTCGCATAATAAGAGATTAATTGTGCTTGTTTCTTAGAAAACCCTGTTAGTGTTAAATTACAATGCAATTAGTCTAGTAACCAGAGTCTTATTTCCTTTAGCGCCGCTAAACAAAATACTATCGGCACTTTTAAATGAAGCGTCATTTTAATGCAGCTAACCAGAAAATGTTAAGCAGATTAACTTTGAAATATGTAGTGACGACTTAAACGTAAAAACATTTGTATGGTCGAAAATATGACATTTTAACATAGAGTTTAATATTTAGAAAGTTAAACCTACAAAAATAAAATAAACAAAATAATGTAAAAAAATAAAATCTTGAGTTATCTTAAGCGAAATGAGTGCGTAAAATTTATTTACAAATCTGTAAATGAAATCCATCTCGATCGAATTAAGGACCTTGGATAGATCAAACACGATTTAGTCGATTTTGAACTTTATTCTACTACAGATAAGGCTTGTTATTGATCGGTTGAAATGCAATATATCACCGACAAAAGAACGGTCTACTCGTGCGCATGGCTGTGTTTATTTGGTGAGGTCAGTTGAATAGTAAATGCCGCGACACTAACACCCGACTCATTGCAGGCTTAGTCGGATAATGAACGCGCCATTTTATTTAATTTAATTTATTTAACTGTGCTGTGGATTCAGGTAAATATTTTTTTATTTATTTTTTTATATTATAATTATTTTTAAAACATAAAATGTTTAATCATTTTTGAAGTAATATGTATCTATGATGTCTAATTTAATTATGATTCAAAAGAAATATTATTAATTTGAATTTCGTGAATTTGCAACACATTTTATTCACGAGATCCAAATAACGTGTCTATAAAAAAATTGATTAACAAATTTGTAAATACAACATGCAAGTTCATGCTAAAAATAAATTACATGGACAAAGTTTCGAAACGTCTCAATTATTTTTCGGATAGAATGTTTTGCACTTTTGCCCCATTGGGACATCCTGTAGCATAAACAAAATAGACAAAACACACATGGTAAGACAAAGGGAATAGTAAATTAGCTCCGAGGAAATGAAATTCAGTTAGGGCAAAATTATTAATTCACTTTGATATTCTATCTGTATGTAAGTGCTCTGTGACCTAGTGAGGCAAAATGCTGTTTTCTCTGTATAAAGTATTACGTAACAATTAGTCGCCTTTAAATTGGCTTAAAAAAAATACCGCTCCAATAACCCAATACCATCAATCAATGATTAAATTGCTTAACAAAGATGAATTTGTTGTCTCTGTTAAATAGTCGTCAAGGCAATGTTTTCGGTAACATTATATACAAGTTGTCGACCTGACTACGCCCTCTTCGAAATCTTTAATACATAATTTAAATTAAAAGGTTTAAAATTTAAATACTTTTCTTCATATTTTAATTCGGACTTTTTAAGGATATGTCAGTCCGTTCTCAATTCTCGTCAACGTAATGAAATTATGTATCTATTTAAAATTTTAAGACTGTATATTAAACCCATAAATTTAATCCGCATTACATATCTGAAACTTAAACAATAAAAAGAGTAAATTAAAGCCTAATTAGTATGTAAAACTGAACAATTTATTGTAACAATGTCCTTTTTTCTGTCTTTTTTCCTTGTTCCTATTTCATTACCTGCAGACACGTCGTGCAAAATAAATGGTGTCGCAGGAAACTGACACCGTTTTATATTCACAGTATAATCTGCTTATTAAAGTACCTAATTTGACTTTACAATATTAGAATTGCTTTTATTCTTTGTTTTTAATTTCTTATTTTCTTAAATTTAAAAAATGTAGAAAGCAATTGACTCTTGTCTTTATTTACTCGTTTTTAGCTTTGAAATATAACGAAGATAAATGATTCTCAGATAGGCTTAAAATCATGTAGCGTAAATGTTTTTAAGTCATAAACTGATTGCTAGATGTGTGACAGTATATCGTAAGAAATAAGTAATGTAAGTTGTCCTGTTGGTTTAAATTTACTTGAACATGTTTATTATGCACTTCCTAATTTTGTTTTTAATGTGATAAATCGATTGCAACAATAACAGTAACAAACAAAGGGACATACAAAATACTGGATTTTTAGCAAAATATTAACTGAATAAATTGTCTACTCCATGAGGTCAAATGGGGTAGGTAGAGATGAAGGAATTGTAAATTGCATCTTGATGCAGTTTTGACGTACTTACTGGACTAACTGGAGAATTATTTTTTTCTCTTTACTTCCTCTTTACTTTCTTTTTTATTCGAATAGTACCGAAAAGCGAAGTTCTTTGATCATTAAAACTTCGGCGATTGTTCGCAGTCTCATGCAAAATAGAGAGCCGGCATTTGGATGTATTTCTAAGCGCTACGTAAATGTTTTAACTTGGTGACATTTCTATTTTCCTGTATTTCCGATCATAAATCCTCGATTTTCAGTAAAATATGACATTCTATGTCTTCAATAAGTATAGTTAAGCACTGTTTAGTTAAACACATGTTTAAAATCTAACCGTCGATGATGCTATCAGCTAACTATTGACCATAAATAAGTGTTAAGAAACAGTTTTCGATGTAAGTCAATTATTACTTACCAGCTGTTCCCGTGCGGCTTCATCCGTATGAAATTATGAAAATTTAATTTTATTGGTTACATTTGTCAAATTACAATTACAAATGTCAAAATGACATAACATGATGACAGACAACCTTGCTTCCTTGATGTTGGCAGCAAATTATGGTCTCTTTCCCACTTTAAAATTTTTATCCAAAATATTTATCCCCTAAGTTTAATGGCGTTAAAATATATAGCCTATAGCATGACGCAGGTGTAGGAATTTTTATTAAAAAAGTAATGTTCAAAAATATGCTGTTATTGCTGATATCAGGCAACAAAAAAGTGTGTGTTTACGCTTTATTATAATAATGTAGATTGGTCTAAGATATTTCGCAAACCTACGCATAATAATGTTTTAATATTCGTGATTTGTCAAATTAGTTTAGTTTTAATAATTATCTTCATCTTAATGTAATAAGGTATTCAAATAAGGCAGTTACTTTTTTTTTATCTATAGTTACATATAATAAAATTGGAGTGTCAGTTTTTAATATAAAAAGAAAAATTCCAGAATTTCGGGAAGACGATTTCGACGGGACGGGACTGGTAGCTAACATGAATAGGTATATTATTGGCTACTTTTTTTTTAATAGCCGCACTGTCAAAATGGCGTAATGGTTGGTCCTTTGAGCTGACGAGGTTGCGACATCTCGTTCTTATGATTTAAAGATTATATTAAATCTTTAAAATACAGTAATACCCCGCTTAGCACGACCCTGTTACGCGCGGTTTTAAATTTCGCGCTAAAATGCCTCGCATTACGCGAAAGAGTGCGTATTTACAAAATGTAGTCATTACTTCTCTATGGTCGCAGGAACGTGTCTTGATCGTGTGTCAAACAATTAAAAACAGTGTGGGGTATTATGAACGTATTTTACAAGAACGTAAACAAAACGCTACCCAAAAACCAATAGATATATTTTTCCATAAGAAATAACAGTATCTTCTTAGAATTAAAGTGATTGATTAAAGTTATTTGTATTAAATTTTGACTATGTTTAATCATAAACCTACATACGCGAATTTCAGTTAACGCAATTTTTTTCAGAACGTATCCCTCGCGTAAAGCGGGGTATTTATTGATATGACATCTGAATACGAGTATATGTAAAATCAGCTGAATTTATTAATTGTATTATTGACCGACTTCCTAAAAAGAGGTACTCAATTCGTCTCTATGTTTTTTAACATTGACTTTGACCATATTAAGTCTATATCCTATACGTATAGGTTTGACACACTGACCATTATATTGTTAACAATAGAATTACACTATTCATTCAGGTTTACATTGAAGATTAACAGGAAGTGAACAGGAAGTTATAGGTTGTACATTGCCTAAGCATGGCATTGGATCTATATTCTGATCACAGAATATATTTTCCTGTTTATATATAGATCGATAAATCTGTACTTATAACACAATGTATACACTTTTTAGGTATGTAGGATGTCAACATTCACAGCATTTGGAGTAAAATCCATACTTAGACTCGTTTTAGTATAACTTTATGTTTTCAAGCTAAAATTTAAATGGGAAGAACCTTAGTTGTTATTTATGCATTTGAATTTCGACGTTATCAATTAAAAGTAAAATAAAGTTATGTAAATAGTTAGTATGGAATGTAATTCAAAAGTACAGCAGACAGGGAATATTTTATTGCTTAAAATTGAGTTGATTAAAAAAATTTCGGCCAACGCGACTCTTTTTAATCCGACTAACAGGAAGGTTTTCATATTAAATTCTGGTAAATACATAAAGTTCACAGTCAATGTGAAGGCGATAATAATCAATTATCACTTGTTTAGATATCGTATGTTATTATTATAGAAAAACTAGCTTATGCTCGCGTCTCCGTTCGCGTGGAATTAAAAGAAAGTAGCCTATGTGTTCTTCCAGACTATCATCTACATCGATAGCCGTTCAGGCTACAAACTCTATCAAACATCAATCTATCCATCCAAACTTTCGCATTTATAATATTAGTAAGATTACAATTAACGGCGAACGTTAACTAAAATTTTTTGTCTTGTATTCTATCGCAGAAGACTAAAGGCCTGTTCTACCACTGGCTGATAGAGGCTCAGATAGCTTAAAAATGACTATCAGATAAGGAAACAAAATCCGATATTTGCGTCACATATTTTACACATTAGATTGTTATCAGACAATTTACAACTTGGTGGGACAGGCCCTTAACTTAAAAGCAAAACATAGTTATGATATTCATTAGTACCTTTTCAGAGATACCGATTACATATCTGCGTTCAAAAATTGCTTATTTATTTAAATAATTGTCACATTTCTACGTGTGTGTATTCAACGTTCGTCGCCGACTACAAAATATTGCGTTACAAACATAGATTTCACACGTATTTGCACATCTAAGTAAATACTAAATTTGCACAGTAATATACCCAATGTATGACAAAACATAAGTAAACTATCATCGAGAAAAAACTACACACCAATACGAATTTATTTTAATTCTTTGACAGTGTGATATTAGAACACTATTAGGTATTAAATGCCAGTAGCTGGCTCAATCACATGCCAGCTGTTTGAACGCTAACTGTTATATTAGTACGATAATTATTTGAACGACACCTACGTGGAAGTTAGTTGAGAGTTGACGTAGCTTCACCGAGAACCGATGTTAAATTCTCAAGAAAAATGGCAATGAGAAAGGAAATTGCTATGAATTTAATAAATAGAATTTCAAGTAAAGCCGCCGTCTGTTAACGTCTCGACAAACGACCGAAAGACCTTCAACCCGATAGCCGTTTCTATATTTCCTCATGTCAAACTTAAACAATTGTATCAGAAATTGTTGCAAAATACTCTTTGTTTTATTTTACAGTAAAATTATTCTTAACGGTAAGAAATATATCTAATACAAATAAAAACACAAAATTTACTTTAATGAAACTGCTAGGAACGTTAAAAGCTAAAATCACATATAAAAAACTGTACTCAATATACAGGATTGTTCCTGTTCTATCTTACTAATATTATAAATGAGAAAGTTTAGATGGATGGATGGATGTTTGTT